GACGCGTGGGAACGTCGCCAGTGGGGCGTTCGGTTCCATCTGGGGCCGCGACGCGCGCGAAGGGCGCGTCGAAGTTTGCAGCGCGACGGACGCATGGGGGCGTCGTCGCCGAGGCCGTGCGTGGATCACCTCATGCGGCCGCGTCGCATGCGAGGGTGCGCCGACATGTGCGGCGCGGACGCATGGGCACGTTGCCAGTGGGGCCTTGGGCGTAGCTCCCGAGGAGACCACCCAACGCGCGAGGGGTGCGCCGAAATCAACTGCGCGGGCGCATGCGCGCGCGGCCGCGGAGCGCGCGAGGGGTGCGCCGGACCGGGCGGCGCGGGCGCAAGGGGGCGCCGCCTCTGGCGCCTTGGGTGGGGCCCCTTTGCGGGGCCGCGCAGCGCGCGGGGGGTGGGCCGAAACGAATAGATGCCGGGGCCAGAGGCAGGGGCAGGAGGAGAGATTGCGGAGGAGCGGGGGGGGGGGAGAGGAGGAGGGCGACGCGGGGTTGCGTCCCTAGAAAACGATGGCCCAACACCGCGGGATGGTTGGGGAACATCTAGCTATCCACATGCCCCCCCAGCGAAGTAAGATCGCGCCTCTTCGAGCCCGCGCCAGCCCGGGGCGGCCAAACCGGCGCGCGCGATTGCCAGTGAGCGCCGACGGGGCCCCCATATCAATGGTGCGGACGTGGCCGCGCGCGCGGGGTCTCGCAGCGACGTTGCGCGAGGGGTGGTGGTGGTGGCGCTCGTCCGTCGCGGGGTATGCGCGCGCATGCATCGTTGCGTGTGCGCTTTGGCTTGCGCTCGCCCATTTATTTCTAGACGCCCCCCGCCTACTTCGGCCGAGGGTGGGGTTCCCTGTAGGGATTGATTCGCGCGCGGGCTGCGCCGAGATTCGTTGCGGGCGGCGGGGCGCGAGCGAGCTCCCGATTGGGGTGGCGCGCGAAGCTCGACGCGGGGCGCGACGCGTGCGAGGGTCATGCCGCCGCGGGCGGTGGGGCCGCCGCGAGCGGCCGATTGCGGTTGCCCGCGCGGCTCGCTGCGGGTGCAAGAAACGACCGTGCCCCAAGTCAGCCTGGCGGTTGCTTTCGGGGGTGGTTGTTGTCAGTTGGGGTCTCGGGCTGCCTGAAAGATGGCAGCAGCGGGGCGCCGCAGCTATGGGCCAGGGGATCTCGTGGACTACCGCCGTCCGACCACTGCCAATGACGACTGGGGCGGATGGAACGGACCATGCCCCTTCGCCCGTAACTATCCTGACCGCGGGCAGGCAGTAGTGCAGGTCGGCGGTCGGGAAGTCTTGTCAGAATGCCCAGACTTACGACGCGCATTATGCATTGTAGTATTATGGTCCGCGAGATCGTCTCGGATGCCGCAGCAATGCGAACAGTATTGGCCTTTATCGCGAGCTTGCGCGCGGGGGGGCCTGCCATGGTCTTTGGCTACCTGCCGACAGCAGGGAAACTTGCGGATGGCGACAGCGAGCCGGCTCTCGCCCAAAGTGCACTTAACCTTGTTTTCCTCATCAGAAATAACTTAAGGATAGAAGCGTTGTAGCTGTATGTTTGGCTAAAAGCGTCCGTTGCCTTACCGTGATGTACTATGACAGCGACGTTACACCGGGGTTCCACTACTACGAGTCAGAGGGTACCGCTCCTAACATGTACGGCAACACTGGCACCGCGCATGCGCGAATCATGCAGTGGTGAAAATCATCGAATCATTTAGCAGACTTTGATGGGGACTTCTCGAAGTTAGAGGACCTGGCGGCCGCGCCCCAGAGGAGGGCGGACCTCCAGCGCCGGCCGCCCTTGACGGCAGACTACCGACTATTGCTGAAGAGTCAGAAACAGATCTGGAAGCACATTATGGACGCGTGGTATGTAGAGCTCCAAGAGGAAACGGAACTGCTCGAGACCCCCTCATGGGAGTCCTCGGGTTTGGCGCCCACCGAAGTTGTAGCCGACGACCGCGCGCTCGTGGCGGCGGCCGGTGAAGAGCATGGACACTTGCGCGAAGTGGGCTATGCTCCAAGCCACGGCGCCGACGAAATCTTCCTGGTACCTCGGACCACCGAATGCGACGAGACTTGCGATCTCGATTCGGGCGACCACGGCCGGCATGCCGAGTTATGTTCAACTGCTGACATGGCCAAGGTCGTTCTTTCTATCAGAGCAACGATGCGAGGCGATGCGAGGCGCTACGCAGCGGCCAAGTAACCGCCATGCGCGTATATGTCTCGGCCGCAGCTACTGGAGCTGCGGTTGTCCAGGAAAGCGACCGCCTGGCGAAGGCAGAAGTGCATGCCAACCCGACAGAAATTTCTGAAGTTTTGCACGCTGAGTGTAAATTATGGCATAAAAGCAATGCCATAGCATGACCTCTAGATACTTGTACTTGTGGAAAGTTGCCACAAACGATAAAGGCGAAATGGGGCGAACAATGCGACGGCGCCTTGTTCTTCGCGGCTTTATGGACGTCGAAGCGTTCGACGTATAAACCTTCTCAGGCGCAGCTCGTCGAGCAAGCCAGAGATTGCTCGCCAGCGCGGCCGCGTGCAAGAAACTGTGGATCATTGCGATTATGGACATCGATATGGCTTTCTTGAAGGGTCTGACTTACCGTGAGTTGGCAGAGGCCGCTGGTGAGAGAGAAGAGAGAGAGAGAGAGAGAGAGAGAGAGAGAGAGAGAGAGAGAGAGAGAGAGAGAGAGAGAGAGAGAGAGAGAGAGAGAGAGAGAGAGAGAGAGAGAGAGAGAGAGAGAGAGAGAGAGAGAGGAGAGAGAGAGAGAGAGAGAGAGGAGAGAGAGAGAGAGAGAGAGAGAGAGAGAGAGAGAGAGAGAGGAGAGAGAGAGAGGGAGAGAGAGAGAGAGAGAGAGAGAGTGAGAGAGAGAGAGAGAGAGCGCCTGGTTCGCTTCGCTCCTCCAGCTTTTGCAGCATTGGTGCTGCGTGCACTGCTCTGTTTCTCGCCCCATGGCGAGTCCAAGCGCTGTCGTCGCGGCCTCGAACCAGGCGCAGGCGCCAAGGAAGCCCCCGGGGTATTCTCACTGAGGCTGAAAACCGTCGCGCGTGGTTTCGGGCTGAAGCCGACGTCGTGTCATTAAGAATTGGAGACAAGCCCGAACCTCCTGACAGCCGAGCACGTTGGCGATATCAACATGGCAGGAGTGGAGAACTCTGTTGAGAAGTGCGTCAGATGTGTAGAAGGTACGTTCGGCGCATGCAAACTGAGCAAACACAGTTGCACCGCGAGCGCCGTGCGATGCGCTGTGACCGAGGGCGGCCGCGTCCAGCTGGATCAGGATGAATGCATCAAACAGCTTCGCCCGATGCAGCATCGGGTTCTTGCGGGCGCTAGCGGAGGAAAAGACAAGACCGTATCCGACATGTTCGCCAGTTTACGTGGCGCGTTGTCGTTTGCGTGGGTCTCTCAAGCGTGGTTAATGGCATGCGTGGTACCCTTGTCGCGCGTGCAGAAGCCCACAGACCTCCAAGCACGAAGACTGAACACTGCCGCGCGCAAACTTCAGCAAGGACCAAACTAAGTAAGATACCAGCTTATGACTCCGACAGGAGAAGTGGGCCCTCATAGTGACACCAGATACCGTCGCCCTAATGGGGGCGAAGATGACGACGTAGAGGGATGTGGCATCCCAGGGGCCGATCTTTTACTGCGTGGGCACGCGCTCAATGGCGAGGCAGTAGTGCATCTGTTTGATGCATGCTGCAAGTCGCATCGCTTGCAGGTGCGTTCCATATACTCAGCTGAAACGCTGGCAGCCGCACATGATCCTGAGGGCTGCTACCCGACCGGTGTTTGAAGTTTGTCCTGGAGTTAGGTGGTATCAGCATTGCGGCTATCCTTGCGATGGGCGCTGGGTCGGTCTTCAAATCCGAGTCAAGTAAGGACTTGAAGAAACCGACCGAGCGGGCTCTGCTGGGACATATCCGCTGGATAAGACAGACGATGGACCGAGGTGTAGTTCATGGCGTACAATGGTGTGACGCGC